GTTTACCCTGTATTTATCCTTTTCCTCCCTGGGTTTGGATACCCCATATTTTTTTTTAGTTTCCACTAGGAATATTTATGTTTTTTTATGATTTTGTTTATTTTCTAGTGGTTCTCCTCCCCTTCACATTGCTTTGCACGTCTCCTCTGCCCTGTTGCTGCCAAACTCACACCTCACTACTTCACTTTCCCAAAAGTAAAGGACCAGTGTCATTCATGCCAATGTCTGTGCCTTTGAAACATCATTTCCTCAGTTTTTAATTCTTAATTCTGTGCTCATGGGCTTCCCCAGCCCCCCATTCCTGCCCCTCACACCTTCCCTGTGCTCCCCTGCAGTCGTGCCTTTCCCTGGCTGATGTCCTCTGTCCCCTTCTCTTCTCCCTGGAGGTCTCTTGGCTCTTGTCTTTGATCTCCACAGCTCCTGCCCAGCCTCCTCAATAATGAGTGATGCTTCAGTGGCCTATTTTACCAGTTATTTTCTAGCACTCATTGTAGGCAGGCAGAAATCAGTCTTTTTTAGCTCTTGCTGCATGTCCTAAAAATTTTTAAAATTAGAAAAATTCAAATGCTGCTTCAGCTTCTGAAGGTTTTATGCCATCTCCCACCTTTGCCCATCTGACATTCAGGTCATTTTGTGAAATGGGGAGGCAGGAGGAGATGCACTCAGTGTGAACTGCTTGGATTTCAGGCACTGTACAATGTGAAATATTACTGCGTGCCCTCACGATTTGGGATTCTCTCCTGCTGAAAAATCTCCCATGCAAAATGTCCTAAGAAGATTAAGATCAACCCTTTTAATATTGCTTTTAGCTGAGCTTATTTGTAACCCTTTCAGAATATGTAGCACCTTAATGGTTGGACTCGGTGGTCTTAAAGATCTTTTCCAACCAAATGATTCTCTGATTCTAAGAGATGTCACGGCAGGGCTGTTGCTTTCACAAGCATTACCTACTTACTATGTGTAGTAAATTGTATTTTCTCAAATATTAAGACTTTCTCCCCTGGTTTTGCACTTTTATGTTACTGATTAAATACATTAACCCCAGGTTTTAATATGTTTCTTTAATATACTGCATTTATTTTACCCTTTGAGCAAGTCCTGCCTCCTTTCCACAGCTCTTCTACTTCCTAATTGCACTGCTAGATGTGCCTTCTTCCAAATCCTAAATAACTAAGATTATCACCATGTAGGATAAGTTTACATATACTTAACAAAATTAAACTAAAATCAGAGACTACCATATGGGTCTCTTAGTGAATTCAGGAGATGAATATGCATTGAATAATGTAAAAGGCCAAATTCTGCTAATTTTTTATATATTTTTTCAATGTTTTTCTCCATCACTGGGTATCTTACATCCTTAGGGAAAAACTCCAGTGTAGCTGGTCTCCATGTACTCTCCTTCCAGTCCCAGCAGTGGGTAAGGCTCGAGGGCTCAGGCTGAATTCCCAAAATCCCTGAAGACCAGAAGGGTGTTTTGGAACCTGTTGCCATTGGTTGTATAGAGGAGCATCATCGTAGTGCTATGAAGCTGCTTTTTAAAAATCATTTTAGGCTGAAAAGGGGGATGTCAAGTCATCAATTAATCCTGACAGCATCCTTCTGTGGTGAAGAAATAATATTGTCACGCCCATATTATGAACAGGGAATCGAAGGCAGAGATAATGGAATCTCAGCACAGGTGCTGCTGCTCCTACCACCTTCCCATTCCCCAGTCAAGGACACTCTTCAAAGTTTTCAGATTACAAAGGAAAGTAGTCACTAAATCAGGCTGAACCCCGAGCCATGTCCCCCTGCCCAGATCACTAAACCTCAGCCAGTTCTCAAGAGAGATTTCAGATCTCTCTTAAAATGGGTGTTAGACTCAAAAATAGAACATGCTGGGCAAAAAAATGTAATGTGCAGCATCTGAACAAGGAAGTGGAATGTTTCCAAGGCAGGGCTCTCAAATCTGAGTGTAGGTGTGGTGTCTGTGTCTGTTTTGGGGCATTTACAGCTGGAGTTTGGTCATTCTGGTGTTTTCATGTTCTTGCAATGAAATTTAGAGCATCTTCATCCCATGCCCAGTTCTTATTTTTCCTTTACCAGATGCATATCAAATCAAGTGAAAATACAAAAGCATTTCAAATACCTCAACGGAACAACAAAGCCAGACCCTGGAGTCACATTAGCTTGATTTTTTCCCTAAACATAATATCTTAAAAAAAAAAAAAAAAAAAGTTTGCATTTTAATACCAGGCTTTTATACTGTTTTGCAGTTCTTCTTCGGGAAATGGAGTATATATAATTAATACTGTTTAATAAAGCTCAAAAATGCAACAGATGCAGCCAAAAGTGCACATCATTTTGAGCAGATCTTTACAGAACAGACATTCCATATTGTGTTCATCTTTTTCCACGATCACTGCTATGGCAATCTGGTGTGTTTAGCAGTTGTTGCTGAGTAAGGCAGACTGGATTGTATATGATTTTCTCCATGTCAGCCAAGAAACAGAGCTCTCTTCTTTTTGATGCAGCAAAGAGGTGGTCTTGTACTATTTTTTGCTTTCTACCAGGAGCAGCTAATACGTGTAGTAACCTGCAAGAATAATAATACACTGCAGTCTGTAGCTGCAAGGACTAGAAGCTTTCTGGAGGTCTTTACTGAAAATAAATGGATTGTGGGGTGGAGAAGTCACAGGAACTAATAAATCATATCAGATGAGCTCCCAAATAGAAAAGCTGTAAGAGCCACAAAATATATAATTAAAATCTGTGAGTATCACCTAAAAGTGAAATATTTTTTTAACGGGGGCATGGAAGGATGTTCACCTACAGCAGAAAACCCATAAGAGAGCCTCCAGTGCAGAGGAAACGTTTCCCCTTTCAGCATTCCTTCTGGGTGCCAAATTTTCCTTCTGTTCTTCCCCACCTATTAAACAAAGCTGCAACTTCCAATTCCTATCAGTTTTCCTAAATATGTGCAGCTTATGTGGCTTCGCCGAGCTGCAAGGCTCCGTGTTCTCCTGCCAGCTCCTTGACAATGTGGCTCCAACAGCATCCTCCACTTTTGGCTGCCTCTGGGACCCCTGGTCTCTTCTGGAAAGCGAGAGGGAAAGCATATCCTTTGCTGGAAGGACTTTTTGTGACTGTGAAGCTGATAGCGGGGCTGTGAAGAGCTTGGAAGGATCTCTGTCGGCATCGTGGCTGTGGAGTCTGCCGGCTCAGGGACGCGCCGGTCCATGGGGACGAGCGGATCCGGGGTGGGCTCACAGCATCACACATAAAGCACCCACAAAACCTGTCCTTGGCAAGCTGAGGCTAAGGGGAAAACTTTGTGATGAATTTCGCTGACTCCCAGCATCAAGGCCATTTTTTTTCTTGCAAGCATTTGCAATAGGGATGTTCCTTTCCAGCCAGATCCAAATCCTGTATATGTGCGATCCCGTGTCCCGCGAGCTGGGCATTTGGAGGGAACTGAATGCTGGCTGGCAGCATGTTTCTGCACAGAAGTTACCTACCAGAAACAGGTGGCTCTTTTAGGAGAGAGGCTGCAGTAAACTAATAGACAAAGATCTGGGATCTGGGATCTTTGCGACTGGGAGAAACCCACTCTCCAAGCCAGTGCTCGTATCCACTTCAGTTACTGGAACCGCCGTGAAAACTCCTGGTTCACAGATGTGAAACAAATTACGGAGCTTATGCCGTTGCATTCCTCCTTATTATTGGGAACAAAACAAATCTGGGGGATGGAGGACTTCTTAAAGTGATTATTGTCTGGCTTTATTTTAAGAAAATGCTACTAATTCTGAAAGCTCCCCAATTCCTGAAGGTTTCTCAGCCTAGGGAAGTCACATTAATTATAAGATTAATTTATTTTAATTCCCTAAACCAAAAATATTGACTGAATGAGAAATTAACACGTGTAGAGCTGCAGATGTCATTCGGCTTCAGATTTCCTGAATGATATAATTATTAATCTTTCATATAGCAGAGTCACAGACCTACAGATTCATTCTGCAAAATTACTCTGTGAAGAAAGACACTGGGACAGCTGAGCTATAGATTTGCCCTCAATACAGGAAGGAAAAAGGTGGAATTTTCTAAATAATAAATAAAACAAAAATATTTTAAAAGCATATGGTGCACATCTGTCTGAAATACAATAATTTAAAGCAGAGTAATTAAATGCAAGATATAATATTCACCTTAGAGTGAGGAAATTATCTCGTTTCTTTTTTAGTATAAATTATGGAATTTGGAAATTTAGATCATTTGTGATACCTTTTGAACCTCTCATTTTGTGCTAGTAAAGGAGATAGATTAGCAAATTGGGGAGTTGCTTTATTTTTACATAAACCTGAATTGTGTTTCATGTAATTGAGTGTCATACCCATACAAACTTTTAATATTATCTCCAGCTGAAATTATAAATAAGTACAGGTTTCTTATGTTCTAACTTCCAGTTAAGTTCTTAAAAATCTAAAGGTAGAAAATGCCTTGTGGTAGGTAGTTTATTCCTTTCTTTACCTAAAGCACTGAATGGATTGGAAGCTTTTCATGAATATAGCATGGATTCCTAAAATTCCAGTTTGGGAAATCCTGTGCGTTTAGGGAAAGTTTTTGATTAACCTGTTTCTCCTGAAAAAAAAGGGTAAACTGCAATGGAAGTCATATACATATTTTTGACAGACAATAAAAAGTAGTTTTCTTCCTACCCAATTTTTTAAAAATGCATTTGCCTTCAGTTAAGTGAGATGTTACTTGGTCCTTCTCACTTGGTAATTTGAAGAGTGAAATGAATCAGTTTAAGACAGGCAAGAGAGAAGAATCTGATGAAATTGTGATCCTTTGCTGAGGAAAATGTTCAGCCATGCAGCGTAAGCAAAGAAAAGAGAGAAATTACACTGAGGACATTTAGTCCCCAAAAGTACAATTTAAAAGGAATATTGTTCTGATGAAAAAAACCCCAAACAATTCCACAAGCAAATGATACTGAGATAAGTTCTGTTTCTTTTAAGGGAACATGACAAAGACCCTGAAACTTTCTTTAAAGTCCTGATGAAGCTGAAAGAGGAAGATCTGCCTTTCCATGTGTCCGTCCTCGGAGAGACTTTCAGTGAAGTTCCAGGTACCTTTCCATTTTTTCCTTACTATAAAGTTCACATAAAATAGATACTTCCATAAGTAGCTTTCACGTATGTATTTTCTTATCTTAGTGGAAAGAATGTGTTTAAAATCTTCCTAGTTGTAAACCTAAATAATACTGATTTGTTGTAAAATTAAAATTATTAAACATGGTAAGCATTTTTTTATTTTACTTGTCAGGCCAAGACTTTACTTATGACTTTTGGTTCAGTAACACTTCTATATTTATTTACATAGAGAGGTAGGTGTGAGTGATTGGATGGTTCAGATAGGAAGCAAAATCTTTCAGGTCAAGGTTACTCATCTGAAATCCAGACTGAGATTTTAGCAGGTGAAAACACTTAGTTCCCTTTCAGACGTGAGGTTAAGGACTGCTGTGGAGAGCTTCTGGTTTTTATCTGGCATGAAAGTGGTCATTAATCTTTAATATTTTTATACCACTCTTTTGCACACTCCTTCTGTTTCTTGGCTTCTGAGAACCACCGCTCTGTGAACAGTTTCACCTCTCTGGAAAATAAACAGATTTTATTCAGGCACACGCAAGCTTTGTGCCTGAGATATTGTGGCAGTAAAGGGAATAATCAAATCCTGGACTGGCTGCATTTGTAATAAATTAAACCTTTTAAAAATGTACACTAATGACAAGTGAGTGTCAAAATATCCAGTGTTTTAGCTCATACATGTTTTCCAAAGTGTAGACTTGCATCCCTCCACCTCATCAGTCTGTAAAAATAGACTGGGGATTAGTTTATTTGTCAGGTCTGTCATATCTGTTGCCTGCTGGACTGGTGATGTTTCAATTGGTTTAGTTTTGATTTTACCGTTTTTAAGATGCCAAGGAATTGATCTGATCCAAATAACTTTCGGGTCCCCAACTGTGGCACAGCTGGATTGGAAAAAGAGGTAATAATTCGGTAGCAGGAAATTCTTCGTGTTTTCTGTCCACTTCCTTTTAAGACAGTTTTCTGAAAGCCTGTTCTTCCAGGCAAGTCTTATCACAGATCCCAAGGCAACGTTGCTTTCCAGACTGAGCGCACCAGATTTCTTAGAAGGAGAAATTTCTAAGGAATATGTGACAGATAGGAATATACGATGGTGCGCTGCGGGAACAGATTCTATTGACACTCATTTTGGATGTTGTTACATATCTCATTTGTGGCTTCAGTACTTATGAATAATGTAGATCATCCTAAATTTATGCCAGTATATCAAATCTATATGCCGCACCTCTTGTCTTGTCAATTCATTCATCCTCGTGTATAAATAGAGTCTATAGAAGGGGCAACGTGGCGAAATGTGTCTCATCACCATGTATCTCATAGGGCCATATTCATACAAATGACATATGCAGGTCGTTGCTAACAAGCACCAATAAAACCTGTTGCACATACTTTATTGAAAATCTATTTGGGAGGGTTCTGCAGGCTTTTTTGTGTTGTTGTTTAATGGATTGTTGGCACCGAGTTTCCTCTCCCTCCAATTACGGGACCAAATTCTCTCAGTGTTATAAATGTCACGTTTACAGTCGTTGGTAACAGAAAAAGTGGATGACGTGTTTCTTAATTCGGTAATCATTCATTTATTTGAAACACTCATTTTTCAGTAGCTTCATGGTTCGAAATCCACAGCAAATATCCAGTAGGAAGTTAAGAAATCTTTACTTGTCAGTGGCACTAAAGCTTGAGTTTAGGCTCTAAAGGAATCAAGAGGTATGACCTAAGGCTTCAGACAAGAGTGCTTTGAAAGGGACAGTTCTTCCCTTGGTGAAGGGAGCAAATAGTCCATGACTGGTCCTTCTTTGGAATTTGTCAGTGGTGAGGAGTTAAGGCTAGCAGTTTCCCAACAATAATCAGAAGTTGCTCCTCATGAGTAGAGTTGTGTCTGTCTCATCTTTGATCATCATGCACGTAGTGCGAGCATCATTTTCAATTAGAGATTTCAGTCAGTTTTCTGTCATTGATGCTCCTCTGTCCTAGGGAATGAGCTGCACTTCCAGTGCGGTTTTATGGTCCATCAAATTTTGGCTAGATAACGGTAGCAGTGGAGCAATGTGCATGTCGGAGAGGCTGGCACAGATATCTGAGCCCTGTACTGAGAACCAGCATCTCTGCATCCTTACCCTAGCACTGCCCCAAACAACCTGCCATCCTCTGGCCATCCCAAATCTCCTTATTCCCCTGTCACCTCCACCCCTGAGCTCTAAAACACTCAGACCTTCCTCAGAACCCTGACTGTACTCGCTCCAGCTTTTTCACTGTTCCTCCATCCAGTCTGCTTGTTTCCACCCTGCCTGCCAGCACATCTTTGGTCTTTCCCGTACTCTCCATCTGGTTCCTTTTCGTGTTGCTTCTTCCTTTCCCAGCCCGGTGCTCT